GAGCTGTGTCCTCCGGGGAGAGAGCACCCAGCTGGCCAGCTCCCTCTGGGGAGCTGTCAAAGGCACCTTCAGACTGAGCTGTGGGAAAGAATAAAGTGGCCTGTGCTACAGACACCAATGAAAACAGTTTTGTGTTGGCTCTTTAGCAGTTTTTTTAGCTTCAGAAAGCCTCAGCATCCTTGTAGGCTTCCTTAGGCTCCAAGTAACATGCAAAGGGGACCCACCATTTGTGGGCAGGCAGGCTCATACCCAGGAGGTCAGAACCCTGTTGTACAGCAGATGGAAGATGAGACTCCATGTCCCCTCTAATCTTCCCCTTATCTTCCTAATCTGTTTTGTCAATGGTAATATACCAGCTATTCCAAATATTCCATCTTTTCCCCATTTTTCCTTAGGATTAGGAAAAGCACCAAAGCAGAGTATGAGAAAGGCTTTTGTATTCTGCTAGAGACAGATGTAAGCAGATGAAGTTCTCATCTCTGGGAAGGTCTGGGTTAGATTAAGATTTACAGTTTTCCCTTTGCATGGTTCTGATTCCCCATAGAGTTGGGTGCCCCCACAGCCCTCCCTGTTGTTTCCCCCCATTTAGGTGTAGATTTAGGTGTGCATTGCCTCTAGGTGCAACCCCTCAGGCATGTGGTTTCACCTTCAGTGCAGAGTTATGGTAACACAAGAGCACATTCACACACGTTTCCAGTTCAAGAAGTTCAAAATGAGGGTCCCCACTTAACTTCACATGCAGGTCTGCAAGGGGGCATGGAGATGCTAGCAGCCCCTGGCCCAGAGAAGAGCTCTGATGAAAAACACACAGAAAATACATTTCAGTTACATCATGGTTGTTTCACAAATCAACATTATTTACCAATTACTCTTTTCATTTTTTTACCTTCCATTTTGTAGCTGTAAACAGTTCATGGCTTGTGCATGTACCTTTGATCTCCTAGTAACAGCTTTAGGTCTTACCATAAAATTCATGGAAATAAATTTCATGCTCAGAATGCTCATACCATGGAATGAAAGACAAGGCTAAGCATCTTTAACATTCCTCTGGCAGAGCACCTACATAAAAAATGATAAGGAAGTAGTCTGGGCTATATTTGCAGCCAGCAGCACTTTCTTTCCCACAAGTAAAGGCATTTCCATGTGTTCAGACCCTGTTCTCCCATCAGGGAGGACGCTTTGAGGTGGATCTATTGAGTCCAAGGTCATTTAGGTACCTATGAAAAACAAGGCTCCTAAAAACGGGCATAAATGCTTTAGATATCTGTTCAGATGCGTGCTCTATCCGGAAGCTTTCAGCTGTTTATATGAGCTCTGTAATTTAGCATTTTGAGGCATTAACTTCCCACTGAAGCTGTTGTTTGAAAAGAGCAGATTTCATGTAGCTCATAAAGAATTTAGTACAGTTGTATCCCATGCTGAGCAGACACTTAATCACCTATAGACTTCCTGTGCAAGAGCAGTCCTGTGGAGGCCGGTGAAACTATTCACACAAGTAAAGTTAATTGCCCATTTGTTCTAGCATTTGCCAAACCAAGGCTTTGATTCTCAAGTGTTTCACTGTGCTTTCCTGCATCAGTGATAGCCCTGTAAAATTCACATGTGACAGCTTGCTAGTGGGGAAGCAGCTCACCCTTATAATTCATTTCATTTGAGCTATCAAGCAACAGTTACAATAGCACAGTTTTTGGAATCAGTTTTACAGATCTTAAAGCTGGTTTAGATCAAGTTTGAGGTTTTGTTTAAATGATTTATCTCCCTCTGTTGTACTCCCACTGAGGCAGACCTGCAGGGTAACAGCTGCAGAAGAGAATGCAACCCCTCTGACATCCCCAGGTCTGTCCCTCTGCCACCCTCCCTTGGACATTGCTTCCACCTCATAAAATTGCCCAATTTCTGCCCTTATACCTGCTCCAAAAGACACTGCTTTTTCTTTGTGCAAGTGTAGCAGCTCCCAGGGCCAGGCAGGGGGATACAGCTGAGCTTGGCAGCATCCCCAGCCCACAAGGGAGCAAGCTACAGCCAGGGCACCTGCAAACCCCCACCACCCCTGCTGCCAAATTTATATAGTCTGTTAAAAAAGTGATGGGAGGAGACGCAGGACCCAACAGGGTTGGGGGGCAGGACTTTGTAAACGATCTCATGTCCTTCAGGTGGGAGATGAGGGCAAGTCAGCCCTTTCCCAACGGGGGCCAGCTGGGAGCAGCAGTCATTTGCACAGCTCTGTGAGGGGTGGGAGCGGGTTTGGGGGTGTTTTTGTGATACAGGTATCAGCTGGCTGGGCAGGGGCTAGGATCAGCTCACTCAGCGTGGGCCAGGAGCAACCACGTGAGTTGCAAAAATTTTCCACCACTTGGTACCTACTCCATCTCTAATGTGGGTGTTAGTCTGGAAACCTAAACCTGGGGGTTTATAGTGTGGCTACAAGTGTTTATTTTCTGTGAAAATGAAGAACTCTTGAGCACTCTGACAGCCCTCCTGGCTCTGCCCCCAGTGCAGTGAAACCATGGGTCTCTTCCCAGGCTAATGGTGCTGGGTTATTTCTAAATAATCTCATTTGCCGCTACGTGAACATGGAGCTGGAATCACATTTCTCTGAGGCTGCTCTAGAGTAAATTACAGCGTCGATGTAGGTGTTTGGCCAAAAAAAGAATTGCCTCCATTACTCTCTGACTGCCTTTAAGTAGCACCTAAGCTTTTTGTAAGGGCTCAGTGGTTTTGGGTTGCATGTAAATGCCATTAACAACAAGCTTTCGGCCAAAAGAAATAACTTCTCTCTCCTCGCTCACCCAAGGACTTGTAGGAGACCAGATGGCCCCAGTGTTTGGGAGCGAGGTTTGGCAAAGGAGACATTTTTGAAAGTTGGACTTTGCTGAGATGAAACGTAGCTGTTGCTGCTGTCTTGTGGCCAACTCCACTGCTTTTTTCTTTTTAAGTCTCAACTCGTGTTGCTTTATTACCCACTGAACAGACAAGATGCACAAAACTGTGTATGAAAGGAGTGAAATAGCCCGGTCCCAAGAACATGCTGAATTTTCAATGTCCCGAGGCTATTGATTTTGTTTTTTAAAGTGCATCTCAGTGCTACTTGCTGCGATGTTATGTTCTTGTTTCTAATTCTGTAGGCGTGGGAGGCAGCGAGCTGCTTTCTGAAATCTTGCAATAAAAGCTTGGTATGAGGAGGAGGGAATTTATACTGTGGAAAATGCCCAAGCTTTGCTGTGAGAAATGTATAGTGCTGATCTTGGGCTGAGAAATATCATTTGCTCGTCTCAGATCCAGGGCAGGGTTATTTGAAGGTTGCATGGTCCCCAGCAAGGCGAGTTTGGTGGGACTGCCGGGCTGCCCTGGATGCGCTTGTCCTTGTCCCTCCGCGGGGATGAGCCAGAAGGCACCAGCGGGCGAGGAGGGAGCTGTGCAGCAGGCGGGAGCCCACCCGTATTGCATCTTTATGCATAAATACTGTTCACACCCCCTTGCCCAGAGCAGCAGGCACATTTGTTGGGGAGGCTTTATGGGAGAAGCAGATGCAGATGCAGCTGCATAGCAGAAGGGACCTGCCCCCCTTTTGGGTGACCGTTGCTGTTCAAGGACCTCAGCTCTGAGCCTGTGGGGAAAATAAGGTGTTTGCAGCTTTCTGGAGGTCCCTGCAGTGCCTATGGTACATGTTGGGTTTGTGCAGGCATTGCAAAGGGAGACCAGGGAAACAGACCAAACAGAGGGAGGGAGAGTTGTTTGCTGTGGTGCCGATAAAGGACATTTTTAATATTTTAAGCAAAACTAGAGGTTCAGAACCTGTGCGTGCTGCTGAGCAGCATAGGAGCCACAGGGCCAGTAAGAAAACCGGTGCTGTTCGTTGGCAGGTCCATGAATACATCTGAGCTAGAAAGCCAGAAGTTGTTTGTGGCTTGGAAATTGGGTTCTGGTCAAGCTGCTGAGCAGGAGCATAAATCAGAGCAGACAATAAAGGAAGGGAGAAGTTGAACAAGTCAAAACAGCTTACAGAGAGCTGGACATGCGAAAGCAAATAGCGATGTTTCAAGTATGCCAAAAGCAAGAAGCCTGAGAATGTGTCAGCAGAGCTGCCAGCTTCCTGGGGCAAGTGGGGAAGCTGAGATTGTGACTGAGAAACACTGCGACTTCTGAGCAGGAGTCACCGTCATTGCAGCTGAAAGAAGGTCCTGGTCCCAGTCTGCTTGTTTAAGGTAACAAAGGGGAGGTGCTGTCAGGGGCAGGGTTTGGAGAAGACGTTCAGGTGCAAGCTGATGGCTTGAAAAGTGTTTAGCCTCTGCGTCCAGATGGTTCACCCAAGAGTTCTGCAGGAGCTGGGCTGAAAGCTGCAAACAAGCATACTCATTTCTGCATTAAAACCAGCTGCTGTTCTGAGGAACTGGAGGCTTTGCCCATATTTTAAGAAAAGCTTTAGGATCGGTCCAGACAGTGATGGATAGAAAGATGTGGGGGAGCTGTTCCTGGCAATTTGATAGGAAAGATAATTAACAGCAGAATGAGAAAACACCAGGAGGATGAGGGAAACCAGTACAGCCCAAGGACACGCTCACATTTCTGTGTTGGAGGATGCTGTCTCATTACTCTGTTACGAGTTGTCTCGTGCCAATGAAGCCGAGGGTAAGCAAGAAGCAGCTGGTATAATGTACACTTCAGTCTGCACAGGAGGCTGTCAAAGAGCTAAACAGAGTGACTCACAGCAGATTGCCTGGCTAAAGAAAGCAAGTGGCCCCAAAAAAAGAGTCAGGCAGAGTCCTGTGACACCTAGAAATTAGCCTGGAGAGTAGCAGCCCTGGTAGGCTGGGCTGCGTGTCCAGCCCTTCTCCTTGGGTTAGCGCGGTTGGGGTGGGTTTGGGTGATAGTGGCAGCTTCTGAGGTTTGGCTGTGATCTGTGCCTCCCACCGAGCCCCGTCTGCCTGCCAGCCTGCCGTGCTGGGGACCCCTCTCTCCAGGGGTGGGGGTCTCACTGCCGCTCTGCTCTCCCCCCGCAGGCAAGTCCCACCTGGCCATCGTGCAGCGGGTGAACAACGAAGGGGAAGGAGACCCGTTCTACGAGGTGATGGGCATTGTCACCCTGGAGGATGTCATTGAGGAAATCATCAAGTCCGAGATCCTGGATGAGACGGATCTGTACAGTTAGTGTCCCAGAGCAGCTACTGCGGTTGCAGGACGCAGGGTGGGAGCCCGCACAGACAGACAGACATGTGGGTAGGAAACAGGCCAGAGCAAATCGTGGTCCTTCCCCCAAGCAATTCACAGTCACGGTGGGAAAGACAAGAATGATGGAGAGATGCTGGTCAGATGTCAGGGAGTCTTGAATGCTCAAGACAGAGAAGCACCAGCATCAGTAGCTGGTAGCTGGGCAGGGCCTGACGCAGGGACGCGTGTGTTGGGCATGAAGTGCCCATGGGTGGTTCCTAAGCTCCTTTGCAAATCTGTGTCATGCATCCAGCCAGGGCAACCCAGGACTTGTTCTTGAGAAAGAAGCATGTTTCACCACCCTGCTCCCTTCCCAGGGTGATGCACGACACATTTTGTGCAACCTGCTGCTCCAGCTCTGCTGCTCCACAGCAGCCCTGCCATAGGGTGCAGCAAGATGTGCCTCTCTCCATACGTGTGCATGTGGTATGGAGCCCTGCAGCTGCAATGGCTTTGTGGCTGCTGCAGGTGGGCAACTGCTCTGCTCTCTGCCCTGCAGCGGACAATCGGAAGAAGGAGCGGGTACCCCACCGGGGACGCAAGCCCCAGGACTTCTCCGTCTTCAGGCTCTCTGACAGCGAGATGAAGGTGAAGATCTCCCCACAGCTTCTCCTGGCTACACATCGGTTCATGGCAACAGGTACCCTTGCCCTTGTGCAAGCCCTGCATCTCCCTGCAGCAGCACCAGCCCTGCAGGGCATCCCTGAGCTGTTCCTGGGTCAGGCTTTCTCCCCAGTGAGCAGTTTCCACCTGCCTGGACCCCCACCCCTGGCATGCTGCTGCTCCACCATCATGGGTCTACGTTTGGCTCCCCTCTATGCAGCAGGGTGCTGAGGCTGAGGCCATGCAGCTCAGAGGATGAGGGGTTGCCAGCAGCCCTGGCCCCACTGGGCAAGCGTGTGTTGCCTCCCCTCTAGAAGTGGAGCCTTTCAAGTCCCCCTACCTCTCCGAGAAGATCCTGCTGCGGCTCCTGAAACACCCCAATGTCATCCAGGAGCTCAAGTATGACCGAAAGAACAAGAAGGCGGCAGAGCATTACCTCTACCAGCGCAACCGCCCTGTCGACTACTTCATCCTCATCCTGCAGGTGCCAGGGGCCGAGGCGAGCAGAGGGTGGCAGAGGGTGGCCCGTCCCCTCCTTGCTGCCTTGCTCTGGGCTGCTTCAGCCAGCAGAGATGCGTACAGGGTGGCGGGGGTCCCTGCAGCCCTGGGTGGATTGGTGGCCAGGAGCACAGGGTGCCTGTCTGAGCGGGTTTTCCTTCCCCTTCCAGGGGAAAGTGGAGGTGGAGGTTGGCAAGGAAGGACTGCGGTTTGAGAACGGGGCATTCACTTACTATGGCATCCCTGCCATCATGGCTGTCGTCTCCTCCGGTAAGGGCTCTGTGGGCTCCCTCTGGCCCTGCCTTCGCTTTGGCAGCCTCCACGGGAGCTAAGCCGAGCGGTGGCCAGGAGGATGGGCTGGCCATGGGGTGGGGTGGCTCTGCTGCAGGGTGCGGGGCAGGCAGGAGCCCTTCCTCTGCAATTCATACACCTCCAGCTGTCGTTTCAGATAACGACGTGCGGAAAGTGGGCAGCCTGGCTGGATCGTCCTTCCTATGTAAGTATTTCGGGACAGGCTGGGGCTCTAAAACTTCTCCATGGCACCGGCCAGCTGGAGGAGGGATGGATTTGCACCCTGCAAAGAGCAGCTTGGGCTCTGTGCCGAGGTCACCCCCTCTCAAAAAGCTCAGTGGAGAAACAACGCACTGAGGGGCTGATGCCGCAAAGTCCCCACAGAGAGACTTTGAGGTCCCTTTGAGGTTTCAGCCGTGCGCTGGGTCCCTGTGGGTGGATCCCAGGGTGGCTGGCACTGCAAGGGGCACTGCCCACGGGCGGCAGCGTGCCCCTGCGGATGGGAGCAGTAAACCCTGTGACTTCTGGCATGGTGCATCTAGGTCTCAGCATGACATCTCTGGACCTGTTTGTGTTCCCGAGGCTCAGAGCATGAACTGAACACGGATCCCACGGCAGGGAAACGGGGGTTGCTCGGGAATTGCAGAGATGGGTCAATTTACCTGTGAGCCATTTGCACATGGTGGTGGGGGAAATTAGCTGAGTTAAAAATAAATGTCCCAGCCCTGGTAAATTCCCTGCCTGCAGAGTTGATGGGTTAACAAGCAGATCCCCTGCTTGCAGGAGTTAAGAAGCAGCTCTGATTAGGGGAGACTGTGAGCCCCCCCCCCTTCTATGCTGATCACCCCTGCAAATGTTTAGTCGCAGGTGGTTTGGGAGCAGGTGGGGGCACATCCCTCATCCCAAACCCCAGATACTGCAGTCGGATCTGCAGTGCTGATGGTAAGCCGAGGATGCTCTGGGTGCCTAATCAAAACAAGGACCCACTAAGTTCAACCTTTAGGGTGGTGTAGGGAGGGGTGTCACTGAGAGAACAGGGAGAGTCCCTTGGGGCAGGTGACTGTCACTCCCATGGGTCCCAGTCTGCGTGCAGCTCTAGGGTCCACCTATTTCTTGCTGCTTGCTTTGCTTGCATTTGAAAGGCTGACTTGTGGACTGCTGGATTAACCCCTCAGTGTGCATTCTTGCTCCCCCATGCGTCTGCAACGCACTCAGTTTGGACAGAGGAAATCAGTGAAGTGGCTGATTCCCCCGGGATGTTGCTGCATGGCCCGATGTCCCCATCCAAAGTGCCCCAGCAGGGCTCAGGCAGTGAGTGCTGCCCACAGGTGATGGGGCAGGCAGGGAGCAGGCCACAGCCTTTGCTCCCTGTGCTCGCGTGTGACGCTGTGTCATGAGATGTTTTCTGCCATCCAGCCACTGCTGCCTGCTGCGGGACGTGTGCGGTGTCGCACCCTTGGCCAGCAAGGAGGCAGGGTGGGAGGCAGAGGTCGCAGGGTATTCCCCTTGTTGGGCTGGCATGCTCCTTCCTCCTTGAAGCAAAGCCCAGCAGTAATAAGTGTGAGTAGCGTGTCACAGTGGAGAATTCAGATGTTAACCCTTGAGCATTTAACAATTTGTTACTAATTAATCGTTGCTATGCAATTTTTTTATTGCCAGGCAGTCTTTGGCATCGGTGGCCGGGGCAGGGGTGCG